ATATATACATACAAATATACAGTTGAAGGCGTTTGTTCACGTTTAATTGTAGATTATCATCGCGGCACATGTGAGTCGATGGTAGGTCCTGTGCTTCTTTGTGTCGTTGTCATTAAAGAAGAGAAGCGAGAATAAGAAAAGAGAGAGAGAGAGAGAAGAGGAGAGGGAGATGGAGAGAGAGAGAGAGAGAGAGAAAAGAAAAAAGCTCATTTGTAAAAGGATTACGTGTACATAGCAAGCACATTTTCAAATATAAATCAATGCACGAATGACGACGAGTCGGCCTGAAGCTCTGCTACGCATACGAGTTCAAGGTAAACATAAACACCGGAATACCGCAGGGTCTACTGTATCCTTTTCACTTTGTCCATGCATTTATTCAAAGCGACAGGTATGATGATGGAAAAAGCCTAAGAAAAAAAGAGAGAAAAAAGTGCGTACGACCATCATCATGAAGTATTGTTAAACAAAAAAGTTTTAAGAACATTTGAATCTTATTTATTACGAGTATACATAGTCTCGTCGCCATCGCCGCCACCCCTCACCAGCAACGCTATTGTCATGTAATATAGACGTACGCGTAACAACTGATTGTATGCGTATGTTTGTATATGTTGTATACAACGGAATCGTGCGTGTATGTTCAAAATTAGGCAAATGAGAATAGAGAAGTGTGCGCTCAGTCATTGTCAGGACTAGTAGACATAGTTAGCCCGTCTGACTGAAATTAAATATTCTCCTTGAAAAAAAAAACCCCGCGTGCGTCTATCGAAGCCATAGTCTGACAAACATTAAGAATATTTAATCGGAATTATAAATATCTTTTATACGATTATGATCGTTAGACTCTTGCCCTCCTTCTTCACTTTCTTTTGTACTTCTTCAATTTTGACATAGCAGGACTTCGTGTACTACATGTGCGTGTATATGGACACATGAATGTATACATACACATATATGCGCACAGTGCTTTATTAACACTTGACAATTAAAAATGACTGTCTTCGGCTTCGAACCAGTCAAGTGTTAGCTCGACTTTCAAGATAGAACGACATCACTGTTCAATTTTATAAAAAAGCATAGACTGTCTACTCAGCAGGTTGTTTTCTTTTTATCAACATTCGCAACATGACGAGAGAGAGAGGGAGAGAGGGATGGTTTTAATACTAAATGAAACAAAGATGAAGAAGTAAGAGAGAAAGACAAGGAGAGAAAAAAAACTGATTTTCTTGCATTGGTAGGCGTCCTGATCATATACACCTTTTTGTCATGTCACTATACGTAAAGAGAATCGAGCTGATTGAAAAGGTATAACGGTATATTAAAGAAAATAAAAGAATAAGAAGATGATCCAAAACTGTAAATTTTCACTGCCGGTCAAATAGTCCACTTCAATTCTTTTTTAACTATTTCTTTACCTACCATATGTACATTCAAGGTACCATTATTCATCACCTGCTGTCGATGTACATATGAAATATAGAACACGTCAAAATTATATAATCGTTTCAATTTGATTTTGCGATTCGAACTCGTCATCTTCTTTCTCGCTTTTTTCTGTCTTTGCTTCATTTGTTACCGGCATACACAGAGCATTTATTCACCTACACCTCAAATGACAACACATGCAACAATGTCGTTTGATAGTCATCCTCGTCATACATTATACAGTAATCGAACTTATGCTTGTACGACAACAACATCATCATCATCACACTCATCTGCTCTCAATCAACCATTTCATTCCTATTTAAAAACATTACCGACAATAAATATATGTGAAAATCGTCTCTATGACGTAACCGTAGCTGGTGATGTTGGCTCAGCAACATCATCATCGTATATTAATAGTAGCGAACATTATGATAATACATATATAAATACATATGATAATCCAATACAATATTTCGAAAGTGTAAGTGAACGATTGAATGAATAAATTACGAAAACTAAGCGTGTCGATTGATTCATTTAGTATCCGTCAAAAACGATCGACATTGTCAATAGTAGTTTAAATGATCTTCCGCATTCAAATGAGAATTTTTACGATCATGCTGGTGGAGATGATAATGTTAATGGCTCATCGAATAGTTCTCGTAGTTCGTCGCCTGTTCTTTTCTACTTGGAAAATAAGAATCTAGCAATATGTGCATGTATTATATCATTTC